AATAGGTTAATCCTTGCAAGACTAGATAGTAAAACAAAGGATAGATCCTACAAAATCACACAAAAATTAGAAACATCTGACCATCAATTTGATATAACTTAATCGCCATTGATAATAATAGTTATAGAATCTATTTTATTTTTCTAAATAATTACTCACCACTACTACTGCATAAAACAACATAAAGTAACCAATAACTCTACGTTCGAATTACTTATTACCTTGCCATTATGATCTAAAGTATACCTAAATTTGCATCTAATGACCCATATTCTCCTATTACAATAGATAGTTTACGTAACCCAATTTTTGTCTCATTATTAGAAAAATTAAATATCCCCTCGAATCTACATCTAAATTGTCGATATCTTTTACTACAAAGAATTGTTTAAATAATCATAGAGCATATATATATTTCTACATTATCCACTTCTATCAATATTAGTATATTAAGATTTGATTATGTCTCATCACATAAAAAATATTTCCTTAACAAATCATATACTAATGATACTAATAAATTATTTAAAACCATATTAGTAACTATGACATATAATTTATATAGGTTGTTACTCCCTCCGTCCAAAAAAGAATGCAATTCTCGCTTTTTGAAAAGTCAATGATTTAACATTTGACCAAAATTATATAAAAATATATTAACATTTATGATATAAAATAAGTATCATTAAATTGATTATAAAATATATGTCCATAGAAAACCTAGTTGGAGATATAAATGCTAGAGCATCTCTAAGAGTTCCCAACTATTTTGTTCTAAAACCATGGAGTTTTCCAACTCGCCAAAAATTATTGGGAGGAATAAATAAGACCATATCCATAAGTTTCCAATAATTCACTTCTAAAATATAGAAGGCAATTTTACATCAGGGATCCTATATTATTTCTAAATTATTCTAACCATTTTTATATATTTTCTCTCTTATACATTAGAGGTGGGCGGCCCCCAATTGCCAGCCGAGAGCGCGAGTCGGGGGAGTGGGCGAAGTGAGCCTACTGGGAGGCACATGGTGGTGCCCAGCTGTAGTAGCGTCTGCCGGGGGGAGTGTTCCGGATGGAGAAGGACATGAGCCGGGGAGGCGGGCCGGAGGGAGGAGGAGCCACGCCGCCACTAAGAACCGTGAAACCCTAAAGCAACTACGCGAGCGGCGAGCCACGACTTCCACTTCTGGAACGCTTCGAGCGACCGAGAGTGAGAAAGGAGAAACGAACTAAGGGGTATCATTGTCTTTTTAAATGCAGTGCCTTTTCTTTTTTTTTTTTTTTCCATTTAATCCAACCATTTCAAACGGTGTTACATAGTAGGGGCAAACGGGAGCTTCGTTTGAAAATAATGAGGGTAAAATCAACAAGTTAAAAAAAGAAGGGGCAAAATCGCCATTGGACTATATGGAGTAGGGGTAGAAACACCAAAATCCCTAAATCGCTAATACAGGAATCTTAAACGAGGCGGGCAAAAAGGGTTAATAGAGGCGGTTTTTGTAACCGCCTCGACGAAAGGTCATGGTTAATTGTGGCCTTAACCGAGGCGGTTGCCATGATCGCCTCAGTTAATCATTCAATGGAGATGGGCTCTTTAGAACGTCCGCCTCAGTTAATCGATAAAAAAAAAAAAAAAAATCCTCGAGCCCACCGGCAAGCCCGTTCCCGATCCTGCCAGTGAGCCCGTTCCCAGCACACGAGCCAGATCTGGCCCAGTTGTCTCCTGCCGTGCCGCCATCCGCTGAGAGGAGCCACCGCCGTCCGCCGCCCAAAGTAGACCAAGAGAGACAGAGTAGATTGAAGCTATCTGTCCGCCCACCGTGTCATCGTCGCCTTGGATCTAGATCAAGCTGTTTTCAGTTTCAAAGTACCTCACTTTAGAGCTTTATAGTTTGAAAAACATTGAGAATTACATGATGGTTCCTAAAGCAAAGTTGGAGATCTCACATAGCTCTACAACTTTCACTAATATCGATTTTGCTAACTTTCGAACTGGATTAGGAGATATAGAGGAACAATGAAGCTGCTGTTAGTCAACTTCGGCACTTAGCCAATTTGAATCGACCGGCCGTCGTGGCCGATCGCTGCCTAAACCCCAAGATGTCGCATGTAAATGACATGCGGGCGTGTAGCCCGACCGGTTAGCAAGCATGCTCACTCACTCACTCTCTTGCTCTCTCTCTGCTCTCTTCTTCCAGAAGAAGAAAAGCCGAAACAACGTCTTCATCATTGCCGCCACCTCCACCGAGCTCACACGCAACCACCATCGCACCACCATCCAATCCATTTCGCTCATATTTGTGCCATCATCTCCTCTACCACCCCGAGCTACCATTGCCACCATTAGAACTTAGGTAATGCGACGTTTATGTCACTCTTGCCACCATGGTCACGGAGCACCGCCGAGCTCTGAGCTCGCTGTGGCTAGCCTTATCCACCGCCCCTCTAACCTCTCTCTCTCTTGATTCATCTACGTCGTAGGTCCTAGAAGCTATAGCCATAGCTCATTGAGCCGCTACTGTGTCGCTGGTGCTAGAACGCGAGTCGCACTGCCGTGAGCCGAGAGTGCCACCGCCATGCACGCCACCGTGGTTGTGCATGCCCAGTTCTCTTCCTCGCGCGCTTCTAGACGTTAGAGTTAGGTTAGAGCTAGGTCTAGCTTGAGGAAAGAGCCTAAGGCCAATACCAACCTCGCTGGAGTGGAACGCCACCGTGCTGCCGTTGTGCTCGCGCCGCCATGCCGCCATGCACGCAGCCAAGCTCCGCCGCCGCTCCACCCTGACCTAATCTAATCCGCCGTAGAGCCATTGGGTTTGTAGATGTCAGAGCAAATGTTTCGCTTAGGCTCACCGTTGCTGGAGACAACGGGCTCGCCGTAGCGCGCCGCCGCCATGCTGCCATGCTCACTAGCAAGCTAGCTCCGGTGAGACCGAGAGAGAGAGGAGACCTGCTTGAGGACGGATCTGGCCGTTGGGTCCCGCTCACTGTGCCGTCTCCGGTTCCATAGCGCCGCCGTGAGGGAGCGGGCCGCCTCGTGCGTCTGCACTGTCGGGAGGAAGCTGGTCGGCTCGTGCGCCACCGCAGACGCCACACGCGGGGGGCCAGACTGCTGGGGGGGACACGTGGGTCTTTGCTGCGTTAGGGGCTGAACATCGAAGGGGGGCACAGGCTTGAGCCCGCAGCCCGGAGAGAGGAAGGGTCACGCCGGCGGGATCTGAGGGAGAGGACCTCGGGCTCACCGGGATCTGCTCGGGAGGTGCAAGCGAGACAGTGGACTAGTGGAGGGAGGGAGAGAGTGGAGGGAGGGAGGGTGGAGTCGCGGGAGTTGCGACTCGCTTGGCTGCGGGCGCCGCTGAGAGAGAGATGGCTAAGAGAGAAAGTGTGGGCTAGTGTGGGCTAGCGGGCTGAGCCTGATTTACCGAGGCGGTTGCGTTAATGTATTAACCGAGGCGGTTGCTGGGCCGGCTGCCCTGCCTCGAATAACCGAGGCAGGCAACTGGGCCGCCCGCCTCCAATGTCATTTTGGAAACGCTGCGCAAAAGATTTTGTATAGTAGTGAATTCTAATGCACTGCTACCTCCATCTGAAATCTCACTTCAAACTCTATTACTTATGTTAAGTGACATGGTGCAGGTTCTAATTGATTGCTTATGGTATTGTGGTATTTAAAAATGTACTCTACAACCTAGAGTCCTTATTTAAAAAGTGTAAAAAAGAGAGTTAATGAAAGATACAATAAGTAGAAGAGTTTTAACTTAACTTCATGATGAAAAGAATCTAAAGCAGTCAATAATAATAAAATTTGAAAACAATAAAATTCCGATTCATATTTCTTAAGATATTATTTATCAACTGCTATAAATCAACATCATCTGGAGTGCCTTCAAATATGATTCTAGCCGCCCAACATTTTCATTTTTAATTTTTAAAATCAACATATGCCTTATGTCAATGGTTGTTGGAACTATGATTTAACTCTGTTTTACATCATCTAGAGTAGTTGTGTAAGCTGGAAGATGGGTCTAAGAGAATAACATAAAATGACACCTTAAAATAGGGAAAAAAAAACCTCTATTTTTTTAAGAACAAAAACAGCAAGTGCTCAGTTTTAAGTATTACTGTCAATCAAGCTGAATTTGACTTTGTGGTTGTTACTGGCTGGATCTAAAACCCTAACACGGAGACTACGTCATGTCATCATGCCAGTTTTCCCTTTGCAGAGACAACACATTACACCTGCATGTGCGGTAGCAACCAAAAAGAGAAAGGAACCTATCGATGGCACTGACATTGCTAGTGTCGCATCATATGTACAGTAACCTGGATCATATTTGTATGCTCATGGAAAGCAAGCTCCCTACCATCCGACATCTAGTTACGAACATGGCAAAATTTTCCTGTTATCTAAACACCTACATGCATGTCACCATCTACAACGAAATCCCCAGGCCAATATACGTGTTTTTGTAATATATAAATCATGTGCAGGTCCAAAACTTCATCATATATATCTATTTATAAAAAATGAGGCTCTCATGCCTCATGGTCACATATACCATCAGCAGCACAATGCAAGAGCGGCTTTATTCATCCTCCCATTAATTAATTTACTTACTAGAAGTCGAAATTTAATTAATACTATTTACACAAAGTCACAAACCATGTTTAAAGTAAACTGCACCCTCACCAAAAAGCACTAGATTCAAGGGTAACTGACCAGTAATAAAGCATATGCTGATATACGCATGCATCTCAGTTGGTACGTACATGCTAGCTGGAGACAAGATTACACGGCGGGTTACCCTTTCTTGCAAACATAACAATAGTTTAGCTTAATTGCTGCTGCTGCCATGAACTTATGCTAGGGTTCAATCAATGGTGAGCAATCACTTGCAGGGAGCACGCCATTGCTCGCAATCGATGGGACAGGCACGGAAACCATATGGTACTCGTTCGTCATGATTCGTGACGAGAGAGGTCGATGAGCTATCGCCCTCTGCTTATGCATTGAGGTGGCTCAGCATCCATGGCGGCAGACCCGCGATGCGGAGCTGCGCTTGCTGCTGCGCCTGCCCTGGCGGAGGCTGCTGCTGCTGCACCGCCGCAGCCACCTCTTCACCTCTCTCTCCGATTGTCAACGGCGGGAAGCTGATGCATGCATACAACACCAGCAGGCATGAGATGGCGTTGACCAATTGAGGCAAGGACTAGTAGAAGTGAGCATAGAAGTGTACCAGATGTTTTGTAGAGGCGGCAGTCCCTGCTGATCCTGCCTCATCATGAAGGAGGATGATGATGAGCTTGTCTGGGCCTGGGTCTGTGTCTGCTGGTCCCACTGCACCTGCTGCTGCTGCTGCTGCTGCTGCTGCTGCTGCCTGCTCGCGGCCGCCTTCTGCCTCTCTGCAAGCTACACAAAAGAGGAGACACATCAAACCCTTCTGTTGACTGTTGACAATGCAAATTGTGCAGTATTTGGCAGCTTACTTCCTTCTGTAGAGCCTTGTTCTCCTCCTGCAATGATCTCTCCTGCACAACACAACAGTACCAACAGTCATTTCTGCACGAGCAATTTACTGTGATGGCTGTTCAGATGCAGAGCATTCTAAACCACAAATCATCAGCAGGTAAATGGCCACTCCAGTGCTGTTTTGTTTTGTAGGCCTGTGTGTAACTCCAGGAAAGTTTTTCAGCTTTGGTTACCTTCTTCTGTAGCTCAGAAATAGACTCCGCCATAAGGTGGCTCTGCACATCCAGACATGGATCAGGTTGTCAGTAGTCAATACATACCCTGATTTTACAGCAGCAAACCATTTAGAGCAGTAACACAAACATTGGCTATACAGGAAGAAGAAGAGATTCCAGGCTATAAATTAAGCAAAACTACTGTTACTACCTTTCTTGATCTGATGTGCTTCAGTGAGCTCTCCAGCTGCTGCTCTAGTTGTTGGAGCTCTTTGGGATTCAAAGACTCTAGATCCTCTCCCATCAGGTGCCTGCAAGACACAGATTATTTTTTTCTTACACTACCTATATGCATACTACAAAAGATAGTTTCTTTAGGAGAAGTACAGTAACAGGGTGATACTAGTTCCAAATTATTCAAAATCCAAATCACCATCAAAACTATTACTTGTGGCATTTTTGTATGGTCTCAATTTTAGCCTTCAGTTTCCTGTATTCGTGGCACCAATTTCCTGAATTAGGAAAATAAATTCTGTCAGAACTGCTTTAGGAATTAGCAGATAATGGATGACCTGAGGACAGTGAGAAACAAACATATATATGCTAGTTAAGGTTTTTTGAACTGAACAAAAGTTTGGCACTGCAGTCAGTTACTTAACATCAGTTTTGAAAATTAAAAATAAGAGCTGACAGGTAGACAGGGCTTTCAGGAATTCAGCTTTACCATATGCTTATCTTAATATTGGTGCAGTACATTGAAACACATTAGCACTTGCATTCTCATCAGCAGGCGAAATAGGATATTTCATATGATCATATTGACAGTACAAGAAGAGCAGATATGAACAGTGTACACAAAATGAATAATTATATTTTTACTCATAAAAAGAATTTTTCTACGGCAGATGCACATGAGAAAAATGAGAAATAAGAACAGAATGGACACTTCAGTGCAAATAAGGGTCATCCACAGAATAATTATCATCTATAAACATAACCATACTATTTTTTATAGACAAAAAATAACATCACAGTATTGTCAAAAGCAATAATAATTCCAGGATTTGTTGATGTGGACTAAAGTAAAGAAAATCACATGATGAGTAGTTTAAAGAATTTATGATGATTTTTTTAATGAAGGGGCATCATATTGACATTGTAAATGAGAAGGGAAACGAGGAGCCTGATTTCTGATAGTATCACAAGCATCTAGACGGATTAAAGCTGGACATAAAATTCAGATCGTATCATTGTGTCAGGCTTAGGCAGCGAGACAACCTGATGATGATCAGAATACACTAATTTCATCTTAGTTAAGCATAAGCAAAGATCAGTCTGGAACGAAATGCAGGGCACATCATTGGGCTCCTCTGCTCCTATGTAAATTTACATTGGACAAAATTAACATAGTGCTATGCTGCAAGACAGTTCAAGTAATAATTTCCACCTATATATGCAACAAGACCTATGAATCAACATTGAGAATGGAAAAAGGAAAAAAAGACTCTGATGAATGTGTCTTTGTAATTAGTTCATATTTGATGACCATATATATGCTCTTTTAAAAATGGGGAATATATATCAAGTTAATATAAGGTAGACAGTTTTAAAAATATTTTGGACTAAAAATCAGAATACACGATATTCCCTTTATTTTGCAATAAGAGGAAGAGATCAAGAACCAAAAATTAATATAGAGAGCAATAGCAACTTAGAAAACATAGCATCACCATAGTAAGGTTATAATGTTTGCAACATTGTACCACTTTGGATAGGCCAGGAAGATTAGTGACACAATGTTGAACTCCGATAAAACATAGTACTACCATCCCTTGCAATGTTTTGACTTGCCTCAGCAAGCTAAAACATGACAATTTTGATTGTTTCTGCATTTTTCCATCAAATTATATAAAACATAGACCATAAATAGAGCCAATGGACATAGCCTATTATTTTTAGAGGCGTGACTTAAATTAGCAGACTTATAAAGAGTTATAGTTATCACTGAAGGTGGAACACATTTAACTTCAAATTTAGATGACTGTACATTTAAAATTACAGCACTAGTATTTATCCAAATATAGAAGATAGATGATTAAAAAATGTAGAAAAGTTTTAGTTATGCCCACGTACACACAGGCACATTTAACTGTAAGACAATGTTATCACTTCGTATTAAGTTCATAGATACAACAACACAAGTTTAGAATATACTGCAGCTACAGGCAGTTAATGAATAACTTAGTATAGAAATCCTTAAATAAATACACAGGAAATGCATTTAATATTATTTGAATGTTAACATTCAAATGAGTTACCAGAGGTTCTGTCAGGTGTCAAGACTTCAAATGGACAGAATGTAATGATGTTGTGGCATCATGTACACTTTCCAAAACTTGGGATCCACCCACAACGTGGTTTTGTAAGCTTAAAAAAAAATGGTATAACAGAACCACAACTAGTTGCTCATATTTGCATGGCATATGCTATTTTGACCATAAGATGAGTCCAGGTAATTAGGCATATCCTCTTACATATATGTGAACGTTCAAAGGTCCAGTTGATAGTATTTAACATAAAATATAAGGCCATCCTAGTATCCTACAACCTTTTATTAGGTTAAACTGTATTGAATGAAGCTTATTGTTTTGTTCAAAAAACACAAGAAAATTTACATATATATTGACACATGCGAGCGATCTTACTCATACAAAGCATAGGATAATAATGAAAGCATTGGCGGCTTGGCACTTGAAACAAAGTAAGGTGCATCTCAAATTTCACAACCTATGATCTTACCTCACTTTCAGATTCAGCTGAAATAAGAGCCTTTTCAGCATAGGAATATCGGTCATAACGTTCGAGAATTTTGTCCATGCTGAAAAAAGGAAATAAGAATGTCAAATCATTTCTCTGGAAGTCCTTGAAATAATCTAGTGACTGGTTTATGCATTAAACCTCAGATCATTGCAGGGATAAGTAATTTTTTTGAAAAAAAGGGATAAGAGAATTTTGAGGGCATATTCCTTTTTTGGAAAAGCAATCCTGCACGAAAGCACAAACATGCAAGTACTATATCATCACCTATTTTGCATTGCAATAGAGAAATGTACTCAGCGGTCAACAAAATTTTATTCGTAGAGCAACCATGATGCATGCTTACATGCAATCCAACAAGTAAGCCAACGTCCTGTATCTTACAAATAAAAAACAAGCTAAAATGGAAATTGAAAAAAAGCTATGTCTCGAGTTAATTGCCATTTCTTTCGTCTTATCTTAATAATTTAAGATCTGAAAGTACCAGTTGGGTTTACAAGATTTTAATTGTTTATTTAAACAGCACCAGTACAGACCTAGTTTACTCTGCAACCAGCATAACATCCTGGTAATAGAGCTTCTTTTATAGAACTATGTTAAGAACAATAATCAGTATAACAACAACAACATAGCCTTTTAGTCCCAAGCAAGTTGGGGTAGGCTAAGAACACTAATCAATAATTACAAGCAATGCATGTTCTATCATTAGGAAGTCAGGGAGATTAGGTATGTATGCATGTGGAATGCTTGAAGAAGCACACAGTGCATGTGATATTGGTTTAGCCAGTACAGTAAGGTAAGTAATGATGCATTCCATCTTAGCTAAGCCAAGATAAGTTTGATCTGGAGACTGACTGCAAGGCACTTATTTTAGTAGTTGAATGACTTAATAAAGTGCTAAAAGAAGAAAAATGTAGAATACAAACTCCTATGCAGACATCATGTACATGGAAGATAATGGTTTACTGAGTTCCCAACCAGTGCTACTACAAAACTGAGTCAAACCAAAGTTTAATGAATATACACCACTAGCTGTGTTACTCAAACTACTAGCTGTAGTTTCACCTGACCCTGGCTAGCTAAGAAGGCAGAAAATGATCTGCTGCTCAATTACACAAATAGCAATTACCTCCATGAATGTGTAACACGTCCATACAACTTTTCTAATAAAAGTGCATGCAAAGAATATAATTAATGATGTAGAGGATGAAGCACTATTGCATTTTACCATTGGTAGCATGCCACATAAATGCTTTAAAAGCCAGAAATTTGAGTAGAACTTGGTGTGAAGAGATCATTGAGGGGGGAAAAGGAAAGTGAAGAAACAGAACTCATCATTACCTCACAACTTTACTATATTTTTAGAATACAACACCACAAAAACCGGATGCACATCAAGATAGATGCACATAGTGTTTGTAGTACAACTCGAATACTGTTGTAACGTAGGGGTAAGAAACCCATTACTTTTGGGTGAAATATGATGCAGACAGCAAGATTTGCTGAACTTATTGCTTACTTGGCACACCGCGGTTTAACCATATATACTAGTCAATGGAGGATCAGAAATGACGAACATGTCCAAAGGAAAAACTGAATTTTTCACACATCAGAAGAAAAAAACAGCATTTTTCACGGTCAATGAAGAACAGCAGATGGAAGTGAAAGAGACGATGGTTTGTAAAGCAGAAACAACATGAAAGGGACGCAAGAGAAGAAACGGCCGAGAAGACGAACAACAGGATACGGAAGAGGCAGATCTATCATCCCTCTTCGATCATGTGTTGTGGCGTTCAGATTAAGATTATTAAAGGGGGTTCATTATTTGCAGTAGTTTTGAGCCAGCGAGTGAAGAGTAATTACGCCAGCATGCAGCTCGTGTTTTTAGGCATCAAATTAATTACATGCATGCGTGATTGGGGACGACCTCCTCGGAACATGTGATACTTTTTTTTTGTTTAGAAAAAAATGGGTGCATGTGATTAGTGATGGTTAATTAATTATACGATGGAGCGGAAATCGAAGAGGCCCGGATTAATTAAGAAAGATTTTCGGAATCCCGGAGTAAATAAAATACGCATGTGAAGTACAAATCGGGCGACAGGAACGATGAACAAACGGAAAAGAGCTTGCAGTATAATATTAAGATTAAGATGAGGAAGCAAGATCTGATTCCGTGATGTAATCTAATATCAGATAAAAGCAAACCCTGCGTCAGCAAAAGCTTATAAAACACGGAATTAGTAAAACGAAACGAGTGGAGTCACCAATCCCCAAAAAGTAAAGTGTATGCATCTGCAGTTGCAGGGAACAAGAAAGCAACAGAAAGCGCGTGGCGCAGGCAAGGTAGCAACAGATGAGGAACTGGTGAGCTATTAATAGCGGGTGGGCGAGATTTCCCGAAACAAGGAAGCAGCTAGCAGAGCAGATCGACGCAGGCAGCATGAAATGATCGGCTGTAGCACTATTAGAGAAACAAAGAAAGCAAATAAGGCAGCACACACCCACACAGCAGGCTGGTGCCAGTGGCGATAGATGAAACTGGAGAGGCAGGCGTGGACCAGACAGAAGACCATGGTGGCCAAAAACGGCAAGCGCGGCAGCAGCTTTCGGGCCGGGAATCGGCAGCTGCAAGCCAAAAAGGGCAACGCGAGGAGACCACAGCCAGCAGGTTGGTGGCATGGCAAGCATGGCATACACACAGCAGCAGCAGCACGAGCACAGCACAGCAGCAGAAAGATCAACTGATGACGAACGAATGGACCATACTGACCGACAGACAGGCAAAGTATTCAATCCAGCAAAACACACAGGAATTAATATATGGAACTCGGGAAGGAAGAGATGAACAAGCATCAGGAGGAGAATGAATTGGAAGATGTGAGCCAGAGATGATGGTCGTACCGGGAGTCGGTGGCGTACTCATAGAGCTTGCCCTTGGGGGAGAAGACGATGACGGCGACCTCGGCGTCGCAGAGGACGGAGATCTCGTGCGCCTTCTTGAGCAGCCCGTTCCGGCGCTTGGAGAAGGTCACCTGCCGGTTTATCTTGTTCTCTATCCGCTTCAGCTGCACCTTGCCGCGCCCCATCGTCGCTTGCCTGCTCCGATCTGCTGGGCGCTTGCTGCTTCGTCTCTTCTCTCGCTCCTCCGATCGATCGATGCGGCAGCGGCGGCAACTGGCAGCGGCCGCCGGCGAGGTTGGGGCGAGGCAGGTAGGTAGCCAGGTAGCTTTAAAGAGAAGGTGGGGTGGGATACGAGGAAGGGGAGAGGAGGAGAGGGATCCGGCCTATCGATCGGTGGTGGAGGAGGGGGGGTGTGTGGGTTTGCGGGCAGGCTGCTGTCGAGCTCCGATTGGTCAAGGCCCGCACGGGCCCACCTCGTCAGCCTCTCTCTCGCTGACACGCTTGCTGCGGCTGCGCTTCTCTCTCTTTCTCTTTCCCCGGTGGTACTACTTATAAATAAATAAATATTTTAAAAGAAAACAATGCGTTGAAAATATTGTAAATAAAAAGGAGAAAAAATTGGGGGTCTCGTCATCGGGCAACGTGAGAGCGAGCTCCTCGTACGGTCGAACAAAAAAAAACACATGCAAGCCTATTTTTCCAACGTGGAATGTGGATTTCTCTTCACATTTTCTTTTATAATATATTATATTATATATACTATATAATATATTCTTTTTCCTGTTCAGTTCCTCGTGCACATTTGGGCACGAAATTAATAAAAAGACAGTCGGCGACGGTGTTGTGCAGGCTTGCAGCTAGCGTTTTTGGTTTCAGATTACTGCAGGAGACGCGGGGGGCGTGGTGCGGTCGCTGCTCGACAACGCCGCACCGGGGCATCGCTGTCGTGTTTCGTGTCTGCATCCGTCCGTCGCGTCATCAGCAGCAGCAGCAGCAGGAGGAGGCACCAGCCACATACCCCCTCCCCTGCATGGTAATCCATATTCCTCCAGTTTTTCCAAAAATCCTTACCGTATCCGTATCCGTATCCGTATCGGCAGGTATACATCGTTGACATTAACAAGCAAGCATCCTCGACTTTTTATCTTCATTCATGGGTATGAAAATCTCTTTTGGTACGCACCACAACAGATGCCCTTTCTGAATTGACTAAAATAAGTTGCTAGCTACCGGCTAATAAAAGCTCTAGCTAATCCAACCAACTCAGCTTAGAGGCTCTATTTAGCAAATTGGAACGGCTTAACTTAAAGAAGAGCCCGTTTTTCACCAGCTTCCCACACAACCACCACTTATTAGAAAAGCTCGAGCACACAAAAAAAAACTAATCATTTTGTAAGTGGATTTTCTTCTTCTATTGACATGCCAGCTTCCATGGCCTGATCTCGTGGATCACGGGAGCTTGTGGGCACCAGCTTCAGGAGCGAAGGGTGGTAAAGGAGGAGGGGGTGCCGACTGAAGGGGGGAGGTGTTAATGGTGATGGAGGGGCGCTAGACGAAGGGGGCATAGCGGCGGGGGCACTGGCCAGAGTGGGAGGTGGTCGGGAGGGAGGTGCGTCTACACGGGGCCAAAGGAGAGGCGTTAGAGGCAGGGAAGGGGACACTGGCCGGAGGAGAGGTGGCAGCGGAGGTGGGGACGTTGGTCGATTGGGAGGCGGCGGAGGAGGAGAAGGAGGAGGAGGGGACATCGGCGGAGGAGGGTCAAAGGTGGTGCAGATGAAGGTGGTCTCAAGTGGGGCGGAGAGGAGGTGTCTGTGACAAAGGAGGAGGCGCCACGACTGAAGGGGGATTCGACTAAGGAGGAGGCGATGGATGAGGAAGTGGCACTAGCCAAGGAGTGGTCGGAGGTCGTTTGATGGGAAGGAGGTGTGTCCGGCCGAATGAGAGGTGGTCAAGCGGGAAATGAAGAAGCCCGAGAAGCTCCTCACGTGTGGCTTATGAGCTTATGAGATTGATCATGTAAAGTTGAGAAGGGCTGGCAAAAAGATTATGAGAAGTTTGGCGTTTGGGATAACCTCAGCTTATTTATTGTTAAAAAAAATTGGTTGAAATACACATCCTTATTCAATCACCCAACTTATAAGAAGCTTTTAGCTTGCTTCCTCCGGCTATTGCTGGTTATAAAACGAGGCTGGCCTCATGTTGGTTCCAATTTAATAGGCGTGGAGAGTTGAACAAAAAGAAAACTAGACCAAACCTCGCAGGAACTAAATGGCATTTACTAAGAAGATTTAAACTTAAATGCTCTAGATATATTCTTGTCAACCAACTGAGCTAGCTTAGCTTCTGAGAGTTGCCAAAAATAAGAGTTTGTGTACCAAATGCTTACTATTCCACTAGAAAAAACAAAATAAAAAAGCCATGTTATTACCACTATTTGTCTTCCGTTAGAATGCACGAGAAGCAAGGTTTTAACTAGCAGTTCTTGTATAAGTCATAATAATATTTTGGTAAATAGTTATACAACAAGTGAGGCGTAATGAAGATGGCGTCTGACAGGTCTTCTTAGGAAGCAATATTTGAAAAATAAAATCATTGGTAAAGTTCATTGAAAATGGGAGATTCATACTTTTGGTCAAGCCTTATGAAGGTAAAAGACCGCTTCCTTGATCTCTCCGTTTTTAACATACACAATGGTAGTCAAACCAGATTTTGGGAGAATAAGTGGCTTGGAAACTTCACTATCAAAGAGCAATACCCGCCTTTATACAATATTACAAGAAAAAAACATATATCAGTAGCCAATGCTTTTAACTCCACATCCCTTAACATTTCCTTCAGAAGAGCTCTAGTGGGGGAAAAGCTACTTAAATGGAATGAATTAGTGGCTAAAATTATATTTGTGCAGTTGGATGATCAACAAGATTCCGTTAATGGAGCCTTACAAGATAAGGATCTTTCACAGTGCAATCAATGTATAAACACTTAATTAATCAAATTGCCATGCCTTTAAATAAGTTGTTATGGAAGTTCAAATTACCATTTAAAATCAAGATTTTTATTTGGTTCTTGATAAAAAGGGATAATTTTAACCAAAGACAACTTAAAAAAATGGAAAGAAGACGATAGATATTGTTTTTGTGACAAGAAGGAAAATATCCAACATTTGTTCTTTGATTGTCATGTAGCTAAATTTGTTTGGAGAGTCTGCCAAGTGGCTTTTAATCTCGAACCACCAAAAGATGCAACCGACTTATTTTAGGCCGTGTGATATAAAATACACCAACACTTGCGCCTCTACGATTTGTATTGGGGCAAGTGCAATCTTTTGGTCTATTTGGCTATTTTGAAAGGATGGAATTTTTTATTAAAAAACAACTATACTCTTATTTGGAAGTTGTTTTCAAACCTGTTTCTGGAATGCCCCGCAAAACAAGAGCGACATGCCCTTTTTTGAAGTGGCCATGTCACATGATAGAGACTGGCTATGAAAATATTCACCAAGCATGGATGGTTGTTGTTGAAAAGGCTTAGCGTTTAGTCAGTCATCCCTTTGTTTGGTTTCACTTTTTGAGAGCTAAAAACAACAGAAGGTTGAACTGTAATAAGAATTGGTTGTGTGCAAAACTCTTGCAGAGACCGGAATAAAAATTCTTTTTCTAAAAACAAGTGAGGCGTAAAAATGTTGGAGCTTCAGAAAAGGGGCAAACAATATCTTGTTGAGCTTTTCCTAATTTAATATAACAATGAATTTATATGTCTCCAAGTGAAGTTGGATTTCAAAATTGACAGTTTACTTTGCTTATGGGCACTCCGTCCGTTATACAGAGACTTGATTTTTTGGCAACTTTCAGACATATTAGCATCATGATGAAATGGTGTAGATGTCCTCGATTAAATCTAGTGTTGTCCTAAGTGCCAAACAGTAAATAGTCTGTCATCCTTTTGTTCATTGTTTAGATGGTTTTTAAATGGAGTTAAACAACCTATACGGTTTTATACAGTAATACTTAAATATACATATTTATGTATGTAAATGTAAAATATGCTAGAAAGTATACATATTTACTTACATAGAAAATAAGCATGAGGAGGAAGAGGATGGGTGCGAGCACAAGGAGGAAGAGGATGGACGAGAACGCGAGAGAGCTCAATGACATGTGGGCCCCATTTGTAAGTGGTTGTTGTCATAATTTTAGGGGCTTTGGTTTGGGGGCTTCTGCTGGAGTAGATGTAAAGGGGCCAACAAAAGTAGGGGAGAGCACCTAAATGAGACGTAGGTGCCCTGATTTGGGTACTCCTGCTGGAGTTTCTCTTAGAACATCTCCAAGAGTTTTCAAAACCCACTCTTAATCTAGATTTTTAGCAAGATTGAAAAACTGCTCAGCAACAACTCCCGCAACTCCCAATCTTTCCACACTTGGGAAAAACAATCCAATCACGTGGATAAATACGTGCGCGTATGTATCCATCCTCCAATCTAAAGGTGGGAGAATGTGGGGGAAGAATAAAAGGTAGGATATGGTTCTTGATGCAAATATACAAGAGAGAAAGAAATTATAAAATTGGTTAAGATGATTTAGAAATAGTTTGGGATTCTTGGTATAAAATTATCTTCTATATTTTAGGATCAAGATTTTAGAAACAGTTGGAGGAACCCAATAAATATGCTCCCAACTTTTTTTAGCCACTTGGAAAACTCATTGATTTACCAATTGTTTCTTTAGGAACTATTGGATATGCTCTTACATTAAATAATAGTATAAATTTGGCAGGTATTATATCACTACTTGTCACTTATTAATAAATCTCCATTAGTTACGCTAGTGATAGTATCTGATTAAGAAATAAAGTAAAGATATTTGTGTCTTTTGTATTCTTTTTAATTTGTTCTAAAATCTATAGAATTTTTAGTTGTTTTCCATGTATATTTTCTAATAACTCTGCTCTGGACTCTGAGCACCCCTCTATATATTTTAGGTTCACACAAAGGATTGAAGGAGAAGCTAGCTGGTGAGGGGGCAACCTGTGATTCTTGTGTCAATCGTAGTCTCGTCTTTATGGTAAAGCTGGTAAAGATTCTTCTTGTGTGTTTGGTGGCAGTGTTATGCGTTTTATTCTGTTTCACTGTTTGACAGGCAAAAGTTGCATCAAGAGAGTTCCAATATACTAGGCGAAGTATATGAAG